GAATGTTGTATATCAGCTGAAGTGCAAAGAATGTCCGGAACAATATGTTGGTGAGACTGGCCGCTTTCTGGAAACTCGCCTGGAAGAACATAATGGTGAGGAAAGACGCCAGGAACTCGGCAAGCCATGGGGCCAACATTTTCGTACCACTCACCCTGGATGTAAACTTAACTATGGGCAAAGTACATTCTCTGCAGTTGAAGTAATAGGAAGAGAGCCTGATCGAGCCCGTCGCAAATTGCGCGAGGCGATTGAGATTCGTGATGCCAAGCCCCATGTGAATATAAGCACCGGATGGGATTTGTTGTGAATTCTCTCAGCTTCCCCTGCTGCTACTTCAATATCACTGAATAATTATAATATGAGGCGGGTCACTCAAATCCATTCTGTTCATGATGCCTCGTCGCGTCCCTGGTGGTAACAGTTTGGCATGGAAGTTTAACCTCATAGTGCATTGACTCATGGGGCTCCGTGCTCCCCTGCTGTGCTAGAATTAACACCATAATTATTTGGCATGTGCCCTCACTTCGTAGAGCACAACGGCGCGCTCTTCTTCTCCGTGATGTGCACAGTTGCACCTTCTCTCTCCCCCCCCCCTCTCTGTATAGAGGTGACATAGCTCGCATCATTTTTTTTTGGCGCTACACTCTGCGTAACGCCATTCACAGAGCACAATGCGCGCTACCTTCTGCTGCTTCTCCTTCGTGATGTGCTAGTTGCGCCTTTTCTTTCTCTCTGTCCCCCCTTCTGCATACTAGGTGACATAATTCGCATCTTTTTTGGCGCTACACTCTGCGTATATACTGCTCTTGTGTGGCTTCCACGGTATTCATTGTTATTACCTGACGATGGCCACGTGCCGAAACGTTGTAAAAATAACGGAACTGGTTCGGATGTGATGTGCAGCGCTATGGAGCCAGACTCATTCTATGACATTCCAGATTACACACTCTACAGACAGGACAGAACAGAAACGATGGGTGGAGGTGTTGCTTTATACATACATGCCCCTACCTGCCACAAACGCCTAACAACAGTCGTCATGCCAAGCTTTCAGTCACTGTGGGTAGAGCTTACACTCTCAGATCGTACAGTCACCGTGGGATGCACGTATCGACCACCAAACTCTGATCCGAATTTATTCTGCCGCGAACTTGAATTGTGTCTCGGGAAATGTAACACCACAGCGCCATTCATCCTCCTCGGCGACCTAAATTCCAAGAACAGCTCTTGGTTGCATTTTGATGTCACAGACAGAGCTGGTGACGCACTTAGCTATCTTATCGATGCATATGGTTTCCATCAGCATGTAAACTTTGCCACCCACATCTGCCGAGGCTATCTAAATTCGTGCCTCGATCTAGTCATCTCCAATCTCCCTCCGGAGGAGGTCACACTTTCTTCCAGAGCACCGCTTGGGTGTTCAGATCACGTAGCAATCCAGGGAACTATCTCCATGCAGCCACCAGCAGATGAGCGTGGCAGACGTAACCTGCCACTTTGGACCTGGAACTGGAATTCAGAGAACGTTGGCGCCCTGAGAGAAGCGCTAGCGTATACTCAACTCTTGCCACCCGACATTGACTTGCCGTCATATTCGCTGACCGAACTGTGGTCGCTCTGCGGTGACACTCTGCTTCGCACCGCACACCAGTTCTGAACTCAACTCCGGTTGACTAGATCATCTGCAGTGTCTCAAAAACGCCCATGGATGACGCCTGATCTGCTAAATAATATCCGTACAAAGCACAGGTTATACAGGAAATACCTCCGGACACGGACGGCTGAAGACTGGGACCAGTTCACAACTCAGCGAAACAAGACAACAACTCTTCTCCGCAGCGCCAAGTCCAAATTCGTTCATAAATCAGCCAATGCCGACAACCACTGTGACCAAACCCATACCAACCGCCCAAACCTCTACAAACTTATGAAGACCCTTCGAATTTCACCAAGAAAGGAAATGCCAGCTTTGAACCATGATGGCAGGAAGCTCACATCGAACTTAGAGCAGGCAGAAGCATTCAACAGCTTCTTCATTTCAGAAAGCAAGAAGTCCGTCTCAGTTGACAACGAGCCAGTCCCCGACATCCTTCTACCAACATCCGGCGAGAGAGAGCTTGCCCAAATCACCACCACACCCGCCGAGGTAGAACAGCTCCTAGGAGCCCATAATCCTTGCAAAGCCCCTGGGTTTGACGACATCCCAACAACACTCCTCAAGACCACGGCGCGTGAGCTGTCGCCGTCACTCTCCCGACTTTTCAATGAGTCATTTCGGAGAGGTGAACAACCACAGGACTGGCGTGATGCCACTGTGAGCCCACTATACATGAAAGCCGAACGGTCATTGGTAACAAACTACCTATATCACTTCTCAGCGTTATCAGTAAAGTGCAGGAGAGGATCGTCCACAAGCGACTCTACAAGCACGTCACACCCTTCCTCCCAGTGGATCAATCCGGTTTTCGTGCCAATGATATCACCGAACTCCAGCTCGCCAGACTCGTGCACGAGGTTTCCGAGAGCCGAGATAAAGGTCTTTCCGTCACAGCTTGCTTTTTTGATCTCTCGAAGGCTTTCGACAGAGTCTGGCACGCCGGTCTCCTCAAGAAACTGCAACACCTCGGCCTGAAAGATACCGCCCTGCAATGGATGGTCAGCTACCTCACCCATCGCCGTCAACGTGTTCGTGTCGGCGACGCCTTCAGTGAATGGCAAGCCATACCAGCATGGGTGCCCCAAGGATCCGTTCTAGGCCCCCTGCTGTTCTTGATCTACACCATTGACCTGCCCTCTGCCTGCACCAACTCGAACACAAAGTGCAGCCAATTTGCAGATGACACGGCGCTCATCGCAACACACCAGAGCCGTTTGACATCGGAGTTGTCCCTGCAGTCAGCCGTTTCAGCTGCCTCAACCTGGCTGCGCAGATGGCACCTCCTCGTTAATGCCTCAAATACCGTTACCTTGTCGTTCACACCAAACAACCAACTCAACATCACTCTTAATGGCACACCCCTAAAGCAAGTCAAAGAACACCGTCACCTTGGAATCATACTACAAAACAACCTCGAATGGAACTCACATGTCACGCACATAATAAACAAATCCAAAAAACTCCTTCACCAACTTCGTAAAACACGAGGCCAACTTAACACCCCCAGTCTGCTCGCAATCTACACCGCCTACATTCGCCCGGTTATAGAGTACGGCAATCTCGTGTTATCCAACACCACCCGCACACAGAAGGACCAATTAGAACGCCTTCAGAGACGAGCAGCCCGTATCTGCCTGCGGATCCCCCTTTTTGCACCAGTCCATCACAGCTCACTTCTTCATCATCTCCAACTCCCCACATTAGTCTCCCGGCTACTCTTACGACAGGTTACTCTTGCCCACAACATCAAGTCCATCCGCGCTCCCCTTCACCTGCAACAGCCTCACCTTGCACGACCAATCACAGAGCAGCCATATGCACTACGACACATGAGAACATACACATTGAGAACATCACACACATACCGACACACCAACTCACCCATCAACATAAAAAATAAAAAAAATAAAATAAATTTCACGGTTCGCGTGAGACTCGGCTTGAAGCCGAGTTTTCCGCATCCGCCGTGGGAACGCCACCACCCTCTAGGATCAAAGGCGCAGATGCAGCGCCTAAACGGTGGGAGGTGAGTAGATCAGACCCACCACCAAGTGGTCAAAGACCGAAATCCCATTAGCTGCATCCATGAACCCATCAACATATCCCTTCACAATTTCAACCAACTACCCCCCGACCTGCGTGAAACAAATAGCAAGCATGCGTTTAAATCAATGGCGTCTAGCCTCATTCTATCATCCATATGCTCCTGTAGTAGCTCACACTGTACCCCATCGTGACCCCATCCCCCTGCAATGTGTTGGTTTCCTTACTTGCTAGACTGATTTTATATGATTCTGGACTGATTTGAATCATATTATCTTCCTTATTGGCCATGGGCCATCGTGGAAATAAAGAATAACAATAACAACTCTGCTGCTTTGGCTGCAGCTCCCGCGATTGTACATATTTCTCCCTGCACTTCACGTTCTACTGATTTCACAAGCGCATGTCCTGCTGCCCACACACCCCTCTCTGTTTCTCGCTTCGAATCACTGCTCCGTAACCACCCTGACAGTTCATTGGCTTCGTATGTTATTAACGGCCTCCACTGCGGCTTTGACATTGGCTTTACCGGCAACCGCATAACTAACCAGCACTCGTCCAACCTCTCATCAACATTCCAGCACTCTGCATTTGTGTCTGCACAGCTCACCGCTTCCTGCAACGCCGGCTACACGGCTGGCCCATTTGATTCGCCCCCATTCCCATTCATGTACTGCTCTGGCATTGGCGCCGTTCCGAAAAAGAATGGCAAGCTACGCTTGATACACCACCTGTCCAGCCCTGCCGGCTCCAGCGTTAACGACGGGATCCCTGCCGAGCCTTTCTCTTTGCAGTACATCAGCATTGATGAAGCCATTAACATCATTATGTCCTCCCCGTCTCCTGTCTATCTCTCTAAATTCGATGTGAAGAGCGCTTTTCGTCAGCCCACAGGATTGGCATCTTCTCGGCATCCTGTGGCAGGGGAAGTACTACTACGACCGTGTCTTGCCATTTGCCCTAATTTGCTGCATTTCCTGGACGACTACTTGTGCGTGAGCGTGGGCCAGGCAGTGGCGAATCGGCAGCTGGCCATTCTTCTCCGTGCATTCTCATACCTCGGAGTCCCGCTCGCGCCTGCGAAGGTGGAAGGCCCGTCTCGTACCCTGACATTCCTGGGCATTATCCTGGATTGTGAGAAGATGGAAGCCCGGCTCCCTGATGACAAATTGGCTGACATCAAGTGCCTGTTGACTGCAGCGAGCATCAACCCCACCATGTCTAAACACGAACTCGAATCTCTTCTGGGGAAACTCTATACTTCGCTGCAAGAGTCATCGTACCCGGCCGGACATTTATGCGGCGCCTGTGGTCTATTTGCAGTCGCTACCAGCAGCCTCACTACCGCATCAGTCTGACTACCGAGTGCCAGGAAGATATCCAATGGTGGCTACGGATCCTGGAACAATGGAACGGAAAATCATTCTTCCTGTTCCCAGATTGGACACCATCTCCAGACTGGGAGCTGTTCACTGATGCCATTGGCACCCTGGGCTGGGGCGCATTCAACAGCGGCCGCGGGCTTCAAGGGACCTGGTCGCCTGAGAAACTCGCTCACAGCATTGAGTGGAAGGAGCTATACACGTTAGTCACAGCGTGCTGCACGTGGGACAAGGAATGGCGCCAGCTTCGTATCACAGTGCACTGTGACAACAAGGCGGTGGTAGATTGCATCCGCTCCGGCACATCCAAGTCACCGCCAGTGATGACCCTGATCAGGGAGCTGTTCTTTGTGTGCGCCCGCTTCAATTTCACCGTCGCTGCTGCTCACATTGCTGGCCAGTCGAACTGCATTTCCTATTCGCTGTCTCGTTTCCGCATGGAGGAATTCCGGCGTCTCGCCCCAGCTGCTCAAGCACAACCAGACCGAGCAGTGCTGCCATTCCAGCCGAAGTAATATAGCCTTGACATACAGGTACCGATTGTCATTGCTAAATTGCCGTATTGAGAACCTGCGGAGGATTTCATCCATCTGCATGCCTACCTTTATCCATCTCGTGCCTTAATCACTTGTTCTTAGCTCTCGTGCATTGGTGGTGAACGCTTGCTGGGGTGCCGTGTGCTGGTTTTCTGGGAACAGCTTCCTTCAACTGGTTGCTTTGCTGCTACTATCTCTGCTTAAAACTGCATACTATTCGTCGCTGTTTGCGACGCCAATCAGTAGTCATTGCACCCGGTTGCGGGTACTATTGCCGCTCAAGCATGAGCGATTGCTTTGGCCGTTTGCAACGCCAATTGCTTCACCCTGGTTGGCTGTTTGCAACGTCGATCAGGGAACTTTGCACCCGGTCGCGGGTACTGCTTCGGCTCAGTCGTGAGCGATCACTTTGGCTGTTTGCAACGCCAATCGCTTCACCAGTTGATCGAAACCAGCACACTGGTGTACCCCAATCATCCTTGTGCGGCGTTGTGAGAATACGAGGGTATTCATGCAGCTTTGCTCTGTGACTTTCCATTGCATGTAGTCACTTGGCTCTCCCATTTCCTATACACTGCTCTGATGCATTTGGGTGCAAGCGCTAAATGTTGGGTTAGCTTTGGGGCTAACCCTAGTTAGCGATAAGACCGATGCGCTGCTCTCTATCTCGTGCTAGCTGCGACTGAGCTGGCTTAACACGTGCAGTCAACTGCTGCGCATGCGCGCCCAAATCGCCTTGGGTAGCTCTTGCTGTGCTGACTTTGGCTTGCGCTTTCCTTTGCAGTGTCACTGAGCAGCAACCGGAATTTGTTTGCCACCCACCCTCCCATTCCCACATTATCTAGGTGGAAACAGCTTCCTTCAACTGGTTGCTTTGCTGCTACTATCTCTGGTTAAAATTGCATACTATTGGTCGGCTGTTTGCGACGCCAATCAGTAGTCATGGCACCCGATCGCGGGTACTATCGCCGCTCAAGCATGAGCGATTGCTTTGGCCGTTTGCAACGCCAATTGCTTCACCCTGGTTGACTGTTTGCAACGTCGATCAGGGAACTTTGCACCCGGTCGCGGGTAATGCTGCGGCTCAGTCGTGAGCGATCACTTTGGCTGTTTGCACCGCCAATTGCTTCACCAGTTGATCAAAACCAGCACACTGGTGTACCCCAATCATCCTTGTTCGGTGTTGTGAGAATACGAGGGTATGCATGCAGTTTTGCTCTGTGACTTTCTATTGCATGTAGTCACTTGGCTCTCCCATTTCCTATACACTGCTCTGATGCATTCGGGTGCAGGCGCTAATTATTATTACCGCATATCTTCATTGTCAAATCAGACCACACTTCTATGCCCTTATCCCCATCACAGAGTCAACTCAAACCATGTACTGAATGTATCGAGTGAAGAAATTCAGAGTAGCACTGGTGCTGCTTGTCGTTACGATCTCCAAGTGTGAGCTCTAAGACAAACACAAAGTCACAGGCTGCACAGGCACTGGAAATACCACAATCCCTCCAGGTTCTAAAATTTCATATGACTCCACAGTGCATGCTGAGTTTAGCGTGGATGCACATCAGTTGGATCAGAGCGAAACCACACATTTTCCTGTGTCTGGCAATCCTTTGGATGGACACGATGGCCCCGTGCAGATTGAATAACAAATTAAAAACATTTAGGTGAAGGACTATTCTACTGGCAGAAATGTATACTCGTCAGCCAATCAATCGCCTTAGATGAAAGGAAATTTGGATTTGAAGGTGGTGTTTTTGTTCATGAATCTGCTTTCAAGATCCATGTGAAAGAAATGTTTGCAAATCGTTTGCCAGCAGAGATTCTTCACATTCTTCATCGCACTCACAACACTAAGACGACAATCCAGGAGAACATACAGACACAAAATATTATGATAACTTATCATTTCCATGACTACACCAGGAAGATAAACAAAGGCCATCCCTTTCGATCAAATATGCTGGCGTACAGGCTTGAAAGTCAGCGATATTATTAAGGCTCGATTCTCGGGCAGAAACCACCAATCTTGTGCAGCTCACAGCCTTCGAAAAAATGATAAATGTTTAAAAATATAGTGTCTGGATCAGAAACCCTCTGAGGTATTGAAGGGGTAATTCCTCTTTTGAATCGATATCATGGTATAAGCATCTGATTTTGAAATCCGAGACATCGGATTAGAAGAATTCTGCAGTTCGTAAAGAGGTTATAATGAAGTCGGAACGAGCAGCATTTGGTTTAGCAATTTGTACTGACCAATCGTTCTTGTTGCGAATATAATGTCGGTTGAAACCTATGTGAAAGTCTATGATGGTGCTAAGCTGAAAACCTACACTGCCGTTGATGCCGTAGTATCCCCTTTGGCGCTACATGCCCTCTGCAGAAATCTGTCTGATCATCAGTGGTCGAAAATATCCTCCGCTTCTTTGTTGTATAATAATACAGTATTATTGGTCGGGAGGGGTGGGGGGGGGGGGACAAACGCCAATGTAGCGCTGCACCCGATGTAAACGAAGCACGAAAACAATAGATATATTGGTGATACGGCACTGACGTCACCTGCTGCGAAAGTAAGATCTGAGGATAATCTCGAACAGAAACCATTCATACGCTGTAGACATACAGGAGTTTGACTGGAATGACATTGACCCGGCATTGACCTATGAACTAATGATGGCCCTTTTCCTTCAGACACGGTTATGCTGCTTAGGCACAGGACAATAGCCCTTTCAGCAAGATGCTACCTGGATGTCTCCTCACGTCAACACTTGTGAAAGTCGAATTTTTCCCATGAAAGTACTACCTGTTGAAGGATCGATACCTTTACCTTCCCTTGGACAAATTCCCCGATCTTCAGCTTCCTCGAGAGGTCTTGAAACGAGGAACAAAATAATTGAAAACTCAGCTCGGCGCGAATCCCAAAGACAGTGCTACAGTCTGGCAAAATTCCCCCACATCACTGGCGTGACACAACAACTAAATATAAATGCAAACCAATTGCGTATTACAAAATGTTCTTTAGAAAATGAAAATTGAACTTGACAATCTCCACACAATGCCCAATCCGTTCATGATAGTCTCTGTTAGATCAGTCTGTGTCCGTTACCCGTGTTAGCTAGGTACCAACAAGCATTAACGTACATGCGCAAACAGAAGTAGGTAGGTAGGTATTGATTTATTTGAATTCGGTATCTCAACAGTACAATGTACAACTTGGAAAGATCCGAAGTTGTGCTCGTTGAACCCAGCCCCAGGCGTGCATACTTGTCGTCCTAAACGTACATTGCCCTTGCCTCAGTGGAAGTGGTACTAGTGCGGCTGGACGTGTTAGTGTGCTGAAACAGGACGTAAAGGTTGGTGCGAAACTATGGAGGCAGAAATTGTTCATGATGCCAGTTGTGCTCCTTTTGTTGGATTTCAGTGAGCTCAACTATACATGAAGATGGATCTCTACTGGCAGCCCTAGTGTCAGGCACTTCTCTGGGGTTGTGTTGTTTTTCTATTCTTAGTTATGCTTGTGTGACGTTGAACCAGTCTGTTTGTCAGGCTGTATTGACATCATGGACGGCAGATCAATACCATACTGGCCAGAACATAGTAAACACAAGCCCTGCATTGACTTAGCACCTAGTGAATGCATTGACTGACAATATTCAGAGTAATGACTTCAATGTAGTTATGTTAGTCGTCTTCCCCTCTAGGTCTGAGATCTTAGGTTAACAGACTGCTCTGTCACTGGCAGTATAGGAAACCAGACGCCGTCCAAAATGTAAAATGACAAGACAGTGCATGTTGAGGTTGAGCCAGGATGCGCATCATTTGTTTCACAGCGTCCTGGGTTTGGCCATCTTTTAGTTGGTTATGATAGCCCAGTGCATGATTATTGATTGGCAAATATCAGAAACTGCAACGAATTCCAAATAGCTATGATTATAACGCAACGGAGGATAGTGAAAGGCAAAATTAAATAATGGTAAACGATGATTTGAGAAAGGATTTTGCTGGCTAAGAAAAGAAAAGAAAATCAATCACGTCAATTATAAGCTAATTGGAATGAAAGGAATGTGTTTTACTCCTACAGGCGTTCATGGTTTTGGTGATAGAAATGTTGTAACAACGTTTGTCATCACAGATTCTTCAGATACTTCATCCGACCTACAAAATATAAACAATGGGTCTTGTCTTCCGCTCACACGCCTTAGCACTACCGGGTTCAAATTTGGCTGGCTACGATCAAAAGATGAAAAGCGGCCTTCATTTGTGAAAAATAATTGAAGCGTAAAGGGTTGAAAGTCAGCGAGAATATTGAGAACATATTTGCGAGCGGAAAACACCAAACTTGCGCATAGCCCACAGCCTTCGATAACCATCCTGAACTCTTTAGAGTACTGAGTTGTTTGAATCAGGAAAGCTAGGACAAAAGGGAACACCTTTCTGACGTACTGAAGTGGTATATCAAAATCTGACCCTATTTCATGGTGTAAGCAGTAGGATCTAAAATGAAGCGTCAACGGGTTGAGGCTTTGGTGGGGCCAGGACGGTGCAAATACGAATGATAACCTCTCGGTCCTGGTCTCCGTCACATACAAGCTAAATTGAGACCAGGGAATTTCAGAGTTGCTGTATTTAGACGACACACATTCCATGAAGTTCAGTAATGATGTTTGGTAGAGATAACTGGGTGTGATTGACTGCCATGGTGATCCAGTTACTATATCCACTTTTAGGCTATCCTCACGTCCTTTGCAGCACAGCGAACATCGCCAGTTTATAAGCGTATCGACAACTTTAGTGGTCCAATGGCTAGGACAATCGATAACTGTTATCGACAAATCATCATGGAAAGCTAATCGAAGTCTACGCAAGGCATTCACGAAGTTCTCTTCAGCGACACCATTAAATCTCCGCGATGCACTACTGCAACGTCCGAGTTGTAAGATTAATTTTTCGCATCGGGATAGGTCGAGGGTAGT